CACTGGACTGCATGCTAGCACGAACGGTATTCTTTTTCAACGGCCTCTGAAGGCACTCTCATATAACATCAGGACGGATTATACTCCCCCTCCACAGACCAAAGCTCGTAGATCAGGGTTATTCCAGGCCAGTTCACTCACGTGCTCTTAGGCGCTTTGAGCAATGTGGAGAATTGAATAGCAGACACAAACAGGGTAGCCAATAAGTAGCTATTACTACCATGCATTAAGAGTTGGTCAAGTAAGCAGAGGACACCAAACCAACTGAGACCCGTCTGTCCGCCGCATCTACACACTGCCACACACACACCTACACACTGTACCACACACACACCTACACACTGTACCACACACACACCTACACACTGTACCACACACACCTACAGCTCCTAAAGCATAATCAGGCTACAGCCGTTGTATATTTTATTATGTGAAGCACTAAATGGTCTTAGAAAAATATTGACTCTTTGTTTGTAGATATCTACTAAACTAAAGCAAATAAAGAGAGTAGGCCTGTTATACTGAGTGATATATATTATACACACTGCTCTGCTTTCTGCACGGACCTCACAGCTGTTCTCTCTGGAAACATCGCGACGCGATGAAAGCAGTTTCTAGTGGAGCCTCGCAGCGGCGAAACTGTGACGCGTTTGGGGGTGCTGCAGCTGCTAGTGGAGCCTCGCAGATGGGGGTGCTGCAGCCCCCTGAGCACCACCCCCTTCCCGCGTCCATTCGCGATGTCTCGCTGTCTCGCAGACCCACGCAGCAAGCAGGAAATGAATCCAGCTCACATTGTCCGTCCCTCGCAGCAGCGAGCACCCTCTCTAATCTCAGATGCACCCCGAGTCATTTTGTTTTAGAACCGGGCCTGGTTCAGTCTCACAGGGCCATGCTAGTTCAAAGACTAAGATGATGTTACCCTCATACTGACTCCAAGACTAAGCAGTATAATGCAGTGTTGTAATTATATTTTGTGTTTATTTTACAGTTTAATTATGAGTGGAAGGGCACAGTTGAAATCATTTTGATTAAAATGTCTATAAAAGCATTTAATAAAACATCAATTTATTATAAAAAAAAGACAGAAGTACTTCTGCTCATTGCAGTCAGAACGTGTTGATATTTCTCTCACCATTAACTGCTACATTTAGTGTTTCTTTAAAAAAATTACCCGCATCTCATAAAAAGCCTGCAGTTGGTTAGTTTTACAATAATACAAACCGTAGATTCAAAAACAAAAACATATTTTTATCTGACAATAGCTAGACACAGACACCAATGTTTCAATTGTGTGAAGGCACAATCATTAATATTGAATGAGTCTTTATTTTGAAATTAGGTCTATGTTTTATATCAGAGTCTGGTTGAATATTAGAGCATTATTCTTTCTCGGCTCACTTTTTTGGGATATTTAGATTGAATCTAAATATCACCTTTTGATCACCGTGACCACTTAATGCCGTGTTAATAGTACCATGTTGTAAAGCAGCATCTTAACCTCAAGCAACACTGTACACGTGATGTGAACTGGCCTGGAAATAACCCTGACTCTACAGCTTGGTGCTGTGGGGGGGCGCTGACAGACCGTCTGCAGCAGCAGCCCAGGTGGGACTGTCTGTGTTTGTGGTCTGGTCTGGGCCAGTTGGCTCCTCAGAGGCCGACTGCAGTCTGTTTTTGGCGAGGTACTGGCTGCAGGAAGAGAAGGTGTGGTAGAAAGTGGAGGAGAGGCCGGCGATGTCCGTGGAGATGTAGGGAATAACCTCTGGAGACGCCTGGTTATAGTAACTGACCTGGAGAAAGATACACATACATGGTTAGGTGTTCCATTATATCTACACTGAACACAAGGAAAAAGGCAACTCTTTTTTTTTTGCTCACATTTTTCATGAGCTGAAATCAAACATCTATGTACACAAAGGGCCTCTTTCTCTCAAATATTGTTCACACATTTTTCTAAATCTGTGTTAGTGAGCACTCTTCCTTTGCCGAGATAATCCATCCACCTCACAGGTGTGGCCTATCAAGATGCTGATAAGACAGCAGGATTATTGCACAGGTGTGCCTCAGGCTGCTCACAGTAAATGGCCACTGGATGGATTAACTCAGCAAAGGAGAAGTGCTCAGATTTAGACACATTTGTGAACAATATTTGAGAGAAAGAGGCTTTTTGTGTACATAGAAAAAGTCTTAGATAGAAAACTGGAAGCCAAACATTTTATATTTCTATCAGTTTATTCACCCATGATTAACCATATTAAACCAGTTTTTGTCTCACCAGGGACATGTTGTCTTTAATCTCCAGGATGGTAAAGCCAGCACACAGAACCTCTCCTCTGTTATATCCTTCAGTGGGGGGGTGAGTGGGCAGGGACACTGAGCGCAGTGCGATGACGTAAGGGTCTCTGAGGGGGAAAACACAAGAAACTGTTGGAGTGATCTTGGCCAGGACTTCCTTCTTAACACTTTAACTTTTTAGCCTCCTTGTTTCTCTTTGGTTGACCTAGGTGAAGGAAGATTAACCACCTCCACTATTCTTTGTTGAAACCCTTTTTTGCATACCTTTCCTTACAGGTGTCCATGGTCGCGTTCCCTGTAATACTTTGACCTAAACTTGTCAATTTTCCTATCGTTACTTCTTACCCCATTAACAGAGAATTTTTTTCTCAAGCTGAACCTACTAAAGGTGGCCTTTTCGTTTAACCTTGACATTCTTAATTCCAGTTTGTGAAGCCTTGTTTTTTTAACCTAGTACACACACAATATGCTCTTAACATTAAATACCATAATGATCCTATTCTGATTACTTTACTACTACATTATATAACAATATATTTCGTGCAACATATCCTACAACAACAAAGCGACAGTAAATTCTGAAAGATAAGGGGTATGTGACCTTTGACCTGTCATTTAGCCATTCAGTGTACTGACCCGCTGCCACACGGCTTCCTCTTGGAAGCCAACAAGATGAAGTCTTGAATCCCTTCTCCTGGTTGGGCTGAAGTCGGGGAACCCACCCCCCCCTGACGCACTGAGGGGGTCACCACTCGATACAGGAAGTCATCATCATCCACCCGGTATATCAGCTCACAATTCCTGATGTAGGGAAGGAAAGAGAGGGGGATGGGAAATAATAATGACTATATTGTTAAAGTCATTGTAATATCATTTAATATTTATTCATAATTTTGCCAAGAGTTACATTTAAAAATGAATATCATGTCTCTACGATAAAATTGAAGCTACAGCCACCTCTCCTTTAGCAAAGCATAGCATAATGACTGGAGTTGGGTGCAAACAGCTAGCCTGACTTTATACCAAGGTACAAAACTAACATACCAGCCCCTGAAAAAGTTCAATGATTACCAAACCATGCAAAAAGGGTTTTTGTATGCCACAAAGCACTTAACTCTTTCTTACAAAAATAATTAAGATTCATTTAAAGTAAAATGTTGTTTTGTTGGAGAGTATAACCTTGACCTGGTCCCTGAACCTTTTTAAAGATGACATCTATTGCTCATTTTCAGGTTCATATCAGTATGTAGTGTCTCTACTTTAAAGGGTCCTCTCCTGCTGATGTTCAGGTGTATATCAGTATGTAGTG